GGCGAGATACGGATGCGAGGCGGGCGCGGTGTGGTAGCGCGAGTGCGAGGCAACACGGCGGGGGGAGGGTGCAAACGCGGTTGAGCCCACCCGTGGTCCTCTCTCACTCACGTATGTCTCTCGTGCTCTCAGGAATCGTGTTTTGGAAATTGTGAGAGCTTCCCCAGATTATGAGGCATAACGACATATTTATATTGCATACCTAGGTTAATTGGCTAGGCTTTCTAATCCTAGTAGGTTTTGGTTTAGGCTTTATCATCTAATTTTATTTTAATTCCGAATGGGTTGAATTAATTTGGGCTTTTCTCTAATTAAGCTCAATTGGCTGATTTAAGCTCAAATTAAGACAATGAAGACCCATTACCCCATCCTCTGAATAAGCCGAATTTCGATTAGCGCCCGAGCTTGGTTTACGCGATGAATTTTCATCTTACTTGCCGCCACCGGTCCCATGCGGAATGCAATTAACCTATATGAACCTAAGTTATATGCTATGCAATTTTAATATTTTTGTTTAGAGGTTAAAATTTAATCCACAATTTTCTATGTAATTAATCACTAAATGATTGGTCGAAATTTAGGTGTTAACATATAGTGCAAACTACTTTTCAAGTATTCTTGAATGATAGCTTCATTATCATTAAGCAAATCCAATTGCTCTTTTCCCAGGTAGCATAGTGCGCTTTCTCAGCTTCAGTACTGGTGGCAGTGATATTTGCCAGCTTGTCCTAGTAAGAGCAATATGAACATCCGCTAACTCTATTCCAAATAGAAAATCCTCTTTTCATTTCTTAAAATTCAATCCAGTGAGGAGCTCAATGGAAATATAATTGCCATTTACAAAAAAGGTGACTGGAAAATAAACAAACAATATAATCAGCATCATGTGAGTAATTATCCAGAAAGTTACATACATCATCACATAATCACCTTTGGGCAGAAAATATTACATGCAGTTGTATACTCTTCACATGACAGCGGTCAAGAGAACATATTTCAATCTTTCGTGAAATCACCACCTTTTGGTGTATGAACCACTAAGAGTAGTCACTCCTCTAGCACATCCCTCCATGAACCAATACAAAATCACCTCCTTTGGAAGTATGACCTTACATTAGAACATGAGACATTCCACCACAATATGAGACCGATATTTTTCAAATCCAATCAAGTGTGACACTTTGGCGGTCACTACCCAACTAAATCCTCGAAACTCTCTTATACCAGGGATATGAACTTTATGTCTTACATTCACTATATACATGTAATTTTAGACTTGAAGACAGGGGCATTTGTCTCTAAAATTACATGTCATGCTAAATCTATTGTTCCATTCATTGATAAACAATGAATTACACTCTACACATTCCTTATGTGGTGATATACATTTGAACTACCACATGCATTTCTGAAACCATAGAGAAATATAAGAAAATATGCATAAATACCCTAAACATACGCATACATAGGGTTCCATACGTATTTTCACATCCACAAAAAGCCTCAAACATGTAAAATAAATGTACCACGGTGTAGATAATCTCGATACAAACGCATTGGTACCAAGAACGTCCCAAATGGACGTTGGACGCACCCTCACGCGCCACCAGAAGGCGCGACGCGTGTGCGCATGTTCAGTCGGTCAAACCGGTCTAAACCGCTGGTCCGACCAGTTGACGTCAGCATGACATCATGTCGGCGGTTTCCATCGCAGGACACGCCAGTTCGTTACGGCCGCGCATGGCCTTCATGCGCCGTCTCGCCCACAGCGCGTGAGGGCGTGTGGTCTCCTCAAGCGACGTGCCTCCCGTCAATCTTCTTGTCTCGACGAGTAGATTCCAAATATGCAATAAAATTTATCTTTTATCCGACAACAAATGTCAAAAATGGGAAAAAACTTCTCGGACAAAACGAAAACAATCATAATCCGCATGTTTCAGTTCTAATCTATGGCAGGCTCTAATGCCACATGTCGGTCACGAAAATGGCACACCCAGGAACACTACAAACTGAAACTGAAACGCGTAGATAGAGAAGTTATCAATTTGCGCACCTGGTTTGGAATCCATCGAACTTGACGCGGAATTGGCGACAATTTCCTAACACGAACTCAAGTGCTTCTCCCCTATACCCTTCGCCGGAACGCTAGCCTAATGAGATTGCCACTCAAGTAAAGAAATTCTTCTCTAGATCCGTATGTGAGTCAAATTGTGCATCATCAGGTTAGGGGAGGGACTTGAGCGCTATTTATAGAGTTTTCGGCCACGGGCCGGGCCGTACTTGGCCCACACTAGCCAGCTCTATATTAGACTTATTAAGAACTCATATATCTTATATTTATTAGACCAAACTAATATAGTTAATTTCAATTAATAAAGCCCATATTAGAAAATTCTTACACTTCATGCACAAACAAAGTGAAAATTAAGATGCATGGCAATGGCAAGGGCAATGGGAGGAGATTTACAAGGCTTGTTGGATTCGATTCTAACTTGGGGTTCGAGTTCGGGACAAAGGACGTGTTTGGCTACACCTCAGATTTTGCTCCTGCGAGTTCTAGGTTTTGTAGCTGATTTTGCATACTGCTATTTCGTCGCATGGAGCATTTTCCGTTTTCTTTCAATTCATGGAGGTATGGATGAAGCTCCAGAGACCTAGGCTCGTTACTTCCTTTTATTTTTTAGGAAAATGATACAAATGGTCCCAGAACTTTGGCTAAATATGCAATGTATTTCATGAAGTTTTAATTTGTTCAATATGATCCATGAATTTTAGTCCAATGTACAATGTCGTCCCTGAACTTTTAGGGCTCGCATGATAATCCATTATTCTGTTCCCAGAAACAGGTTTGGAACATAAATCCATTTAGTAACGCTATTTCATTTTTTTATTTATGGAACAAATTTTTTAGTCTAGAAATAGGTTTGGAACATAAATGAAAAGTAAAAATTTCTACTTTTCTATTTCAAAAAAAAAAAGATTAAAAACCCTTCTCATTATTCGCCCTCGCCTACCGCCACCCCCTGTCGGCCACCGCTCGTCGATGAATTGAAAAGAGCGTAAGAGGGAGAAATTTTGTGTCGTTGTCAAACGAATTTACGTTCCAAGAAGAGAATTTTTGTGTAATTATCAAATGCATATTTCTGCTCAAAAACTCGTCGATGGAATAGAAATAAAAAAAGGCCAGAAATCTATTTTTAAAACATAATGATTATTATCTGCGCCCCTAATTTATCTAATATGGTCTCTAAACTTTTTACACATGTTCAATTTAGTCCCAAGACTTGGACTATATGAAATTATACAATGTTGTCCCTAAATTTGAATTAATGGAGGACAACATTGAACAATTTCATATAATTGATGGACTGAATTTAACATGTACAAAAAACTTAGGGATCACATTGAATAAATAAAAAGTTCAAGGACCACATTGCACATTTGATCAAAGTTCAAAGATTATTTATGTAAATATCCCTTTATTTTTTTCTTGGTAACTTAAGAATAGTTTTTCAACAAATTATTATGTGAAAGGAACAGTTCGCGAACAGGGATAGGGTCCTCTATGCTTGATCAAATTTAGATAACTTGGGCCTAATTTCCTAAATAACTCTAAACTTTAAGTCTAGACCCAAATTTGCCCTAAACGTTTTTTTATCACATAAAAAACTATCAACTTTCAATGGATTCTCAAATTTACCTTCCGTTACATTTCCATTCTATCTACGCGTTAAAGTCCACTGTTGTGCCACGTGTCAATCTTTCTTTTTTTATTTGACTTTTTCTCTCTCCCCACTATCTCCCAAGTCCGCTTTTGTCAGAACTCTCCCTCTTTGTTTGTCACTCTCGTTCTCCCTGTCCCCCATTAATCCCTTCTGTGTGTCATGAGCTCTCTCTCTCTCCATCTCCCTCTCCCCTACAACACCCAAGTCCGCCCCTGCTCGACAAGCTTCCACACCTTTTGTTCATGGAGGAGGGAATCTAGCCCCCCAGCATCGTCATCGTCGGCAACCGGTCTTCCGACAAGTCGAGCATCCTCGAGTCCTTCGCCAACATCAACCTGCCATGACGCAGGGCATTCACACGCGAATCCCTCCCATCATGCAACTCCAAGACAACCCATACGCCGATCACCTAGACCTCCACCTCGAGATCGACGACAAAGTTGTCCCCATCGACGAGGACCACATCTCCGAGGCCATTACTGCCGCCAGGTCAGGCGAGAACCAAACCGAGCGTGGACTTTCCAATCCGGCTAAATACGCTGCTCTCTCACAACGACTGGCAATAACGCAGCGAAGCAATCTCAGCCATCGCGGATCCGATGGTGGGGAGTTACCGAATCGCGTGACGGTGAGCGAGGTGTTGAAGTACTCCCTCACCTGGGTGACCATCCCATTGGCGGAGAACGTCCAGGCATTGAGCGGGTCTAAGTCGAAGCCCTCGGTGATCACAGTGGAGCCAAAGGAGGTGACGGAGTCAGGGACAAAGAGGAAGGTGTCGGCCGACGTTGTGCAGGAGGCGCATCAAGAACTTGGGGGATGGAACCATCACTCGAGGTTGGGGCGAGGATGCAGTGGATGGCATCGCAGTCGCGGAATTGGAGGGCCTCGTACAGGGTGCGGACCACCGTCCAATTTGTGGGCTCATGGTCCTCCGGATGCTAAAGAAGAAAATGAAATTTTCCTGCTAACCTTCGCTTTGGGTTCGATGGAGAGAGAGAAGATGGAGAGTTCTAACAGTCATTGATGTGGAACTTGGGCGAGGGGAGAGAAAATGAAAATGAAAAGGAAAAAAAGGAATAAGAAAGTTAGACAGGTGGAATTATACATGGACTTTAACGTGGACGGAAACCTAACTGTGCGATAAATTTGGGGACTTATCAGAAGTTGATGATTTTTTATGATACAAAAAAATTCGGGATAAATTTAAATCTAAACCTAAAGTTGAGGATTTTTCAGGGAATTAGGTCGATAAAGTGAGCGGCTCGCCAGAATAGCGCAATCAAACAACTTTCACAAATTTCAGGCCAAACGAGAATCCTCGTTTCTGTACCAAACATATAATCGGGAGAACAGAAAAATGTACGGGAGTTTGCTATAACCAAACTCGAAAGTGAAAGCATTTTTGGAGATCAAACGCAACCGTCACATGCGTTAGTCATTTCAAGTTGTTCTTCCCATTGATTCTCCGAAGCACGAAGAAATTGATTCTCTGATTCATAGAGAATCTTGTTACAAAGGATGACAAAAGTTGTATGAATCAAATCAATGATGCATCGCAATAAAGTTCGAGTAGATTAAGTTAAAACGGCTCAAATGTTACCATCTGCAAAGGCCAGAATTGGTACCAAGCAAAAGGCACATTTAAGTTCCCCGCAGAATGCTCTGTTCCCAGTACACAGACCGGGGACGAGAAAATGATGGCAAAACGAATCGGACACTACGCGTCATACTTGCAAAGGTTATCGAATCCCATGTATTCGTGCCGGTGAATCTTTCCTATCATGTTGGATATGCCGACTCCACCTGACAAAACGAAAATCATAATAAAATTCCAAGGACAGTCTCGACAAAGAAATTAGAAGACAATAAGCTACTAATGGTGACACGAGTAAATTTTGAGACTAGGGAAGAGAGCATAGAGTACAAGACATGCCCTAAAGAAGTACGAGTACTCACCTAGCGAGATGGCACTGGCGAAAATTGTAAAGGCTAAAATGAAGATGATAAGGGACGCCCTTCCGAGTACTATAATAAGCTTTCGCACAATATGTTGTCCTACCAGAGCAGCAAATGTAGCAACCATAACAAAATAGAGTGCTGCATGACAAATGGTAACGATCATGGTTGTCAGAAGACTATGCACACAATCTTTTCTGCGTTTCCTTAAATATTTGCAAATTAGTTTTGGGAAGAGTTTATCATGACCGTTGACTATTGAGAATTTTCAGTGAGTTATAAAGATCTTATATAAATTCCATGGTGCAGGAACTTACCGTAAGGAACAGGAAAACGATTAAGAAGATAGTATTCTACAACAGACATGGAAGAGGAAAAGGTCATTGCAAAGGTCGCTGTGGCACTGGAGACCTGCATAAAAGCAACAGAAGCAAAAGGCATGAAAATTGAAATACTTTGTAAGCTTATATTGTGGTACTGTCGTCTCTTTTTTTTACTAAAAATCAGGTTGCCCTTACTCCCCAAAGCAAACACAAAAAGGAAATTTGATGCATTTCTCAAGTATCTTTCAGTTTGCAGCATCCCCAGATAGCACTCAATCAAGGCATGCTTGCATTTGGCAAGTTGCAAAGACTGTAACAGTTTAGTATACAGCAGTGCATCACAGGCACCTCTAGACCAGAAACATGTTGCTAGTCTGTATTAAAGCTTCTTTATCAATTTTTAATTCAGCCTGCATAGTACTTAAAACAAATTCCTGAATGAATTTTGGCAGGACAATCATGCCATTCTAGGCCAGCAATATCAGAACAGTGGTTAAGACTTAAGAAAAGTATGCTAGAATCTGAGTCGCATCATCTGTTTTTAAGCTAGGACAAAAGAGAGGTCAGTGAACAAACAGTGACATGTGTTGGAATGATACATTAGTTATAACTTGATCCACCAAAAAAAAAAAAGCAAAAAACTCACCTCAGGAGGAATTCCCATTTCCAAAAATAGTGGCCCCATTATAAATCCTCCACCTAGTCCAAGTAGTCCTCCTACTACTCCAGCCAGGACACCACAGGCACAATAAAGGGCCAATTGGTGCACCTTTAAATTAGTGCCATGATCTCCCTTGGAAGCAATTACTCTCCTTCCCTTGTATAAGCTAACTGCCTCGTAAAGAGATACTGCAACAGAAACTGGAATCTGCATAGGTTGGGTAACGCTTCAAAATTAGTTATAACTTATGGGAACCAGTATCTCCAGACCATAATCAGATACCAAGTCATGGGCCAACCTTGATCATTACTTATATCTACCTATCTATTGAAAGTCAATTATCAAAACATCAAAATTAGAGAAACAAACTTGTCTTAACGAACCTGTAACAGGTTAAGTACCCAGTACGCAACAGAACAAGTAGCTGTATGAGTCTGTCACCAAGAATTCAATAACAGTATTTGTTAGCCCCCATATCAATGCAGACAGAAATTTTCAGATTCAAAAATTCTTAAGAGTTAATTAAAGCAAGAAGAAAACCTTGGCAATCTGCAGGACAAGAAATGCAGCCCAAACGAAGACAAGAAGTCCGAGCTCCTTCCAGCAAACGTTCTCAAGGATTGTGACCTGCATCAGTACACCAGATTAGATACTTAAAAAAACTGTTTTGCTGATTATAAGGTCAGCAAAGTCACCTCCGTTTTTTTTATGCTTTGCTGTGGGCCATTGCCTGGACCACCAGGAAGAGGCTTGTATTCCACTTCTGTGCTACCATTTCCTGAAGAATATGAAATGGTGATTTGGAACAATCAGAGATATAGATTCCGTAGAGAAGAATGTAAAACAAGCAATCTAAAAGAATTGCTCAAACTCACCAACAGAATTGAGATTCTTCGCAGCTTCCTGTTGTCAGAAGCAATTACAGTTAAAATCGTTAGCATGGAGTTTGCCAGCATTAAAATGGCTATCAAACTCACAAATGCAAATAATTATAAAGATTCATTTAGTGGAAGGACACTTGAAACAATTTCTCAATCCATCTACTGGAATAGTCTTACTCATAAAAAACTGTTTTGCCTCCAATGCATACATATTAAGAATGATCATCTTTCAGTAGGGGTGAGCAAGATGGACCGCCCGAACTGGGACCAGACCGGACCGACCAGTTGGGTTCGGTTCTCGGGAATATCGGTCCGGTTCCCGGTTCGTAAAAGTGGAACCGGTTTCCGGGCGGTCCGGTTCCCGGTTTTAGGGTAGGAACCAGACCGGACCGATAAATATATATATTTTTCAAATTTTTCATATATATTTATTTACTTTTTAAAATTTTTGAAAAAAATAGAAAGCCTAATCTAATTTTCCCAATTCCCTCCCGCCTTTACCAATAAGTGATTGGTCCCATTGGAACCGGACCGGACCGGACCGACGATCCGGTCTGGTCCACGGTCCCAGGATTAGCCGGTCCTGTTCCCGGTCCTAGAAATTGGGAACCGGTCCGGTTCCCGGCTCTTGGGTTGGACCGGACTGGACCGGGAACCGATCACCCCTATCTTTCAGCACAACCAGGTTTTATCTTGGGTCGGACTGTTCAACTCTTTGCATAAAAAAATTCACATTACAAAACCAAATACTAAACCAAATACCTTTTTCAATATGGTTTCCTTTTTCCACGTCTCGACTCCTTTTAAGAATGCCTTGGTGGAAGTGCCTGTAAAGCACAAATAATTATCGAATGTTAATTCTTTGTGGAAAAGCTAAGTTCTAACCAAAATTTTGTCTTCGACAATACTTTACCAATGAAGAGAATAATTAATAAAACTGTGACCATCCAGTCAGCAAATATCACATTGAAGGCAACTCCTAAACTGATTCCAAGCATGAGCATTGGTTGGACGAGCAGCGCCAGGTCATAGTCAATTATAGGCATATCTATTGTAGGATGCCGGAGTTTGAGATTATAGTAAACGGTTGATCCTGCAGCACCCATGATCATACCTGGCAATATAACAAATAGCAAATCAGAGTCTCCCCATTGCATGAAAATACAAGGCAAATTAAGCTGATGGCCAATGAAAGGCAGCTAATTCAAGTAATCAACAGCCAGACAAAATTGCCAATTTAAATAAAAAATATCATTCATATACTTCAAATTATCAAATCCCAATTCTTGGCAGATCAAATTTTACAATTCAACACAATGATAATCAACTGAAGTACGAAAAAAAAATTTGATGCCAAGGACACGAGAAATCAGTTAGCTAAACAAATGAAACGTCAACACCATATTCAAGTTAAATCCAAAACTTCAATCTACAGTAAATTTGCAGTGAGAGATTGACTGTTGTATTTTAAAATCTTAAGTAAGTATGCATAATACCCTTTTTTCTTACATTTTGAAATAGCAGTAGCTGACTTGGGATCAAAGCCTATGATCAGAGTCAGCATGGGAACAAAGATGCCGCCACCGCCCACACCACCCACGCTCCCAAAGGCCGCTCCGAGGAAACCAACAATGGAACCAACAACAATTTGCCAACCGAGTTCCATGTCCTGCAGGGCACAATCCATCATTACAATTTGTTCATAATCCATCATTAAGAAGAGTAAAACACACGACATATGGCTAGATTGATCAGCCAGATGAAGCGAAAGAACCAAACATTTCAGCACTTTCATGTTCCAACAGGACCGACATTGTAATTCAGGCGACGAATGTTTCATATACCGCCTCGCTTGGTGATTTACCAGTCGAAGATGCTGATCCCTATGCGTTTGATCAGCGTAAAAGAAAGATAAACAATCACAACAAACGTAAGCTCAAACAAGATTTGCTTCAACAATCGTCAAAAGCATGCGAAACAAGCCAAACGCGCTGAAGCTGCAACATTGAGCTCAAAAATCCGAATTTACCGGCCAAACATGCTGATAACCCGCCCCATCGGATTGCCACAAGAAATTCACCGCTCTGGATAGGAAACCCGGAACAGTTTCGCCCGCCTCATCGACCCCTGAAGGCTCGCGATTCAGCTTCAATCCCCGCTCGGCGGAAGCAAGCAGAAGCGCGAACGTGAGGTTGACGAAGATCATGGTCACCGATCTCCGACCTCTCCATTGCGCCCCCCCAAGCATAGCCATCTGTGAAACTCCCTCTTCCTTCTCTCTCCCTCCCTCCCTCTCTCCCTCCCTCCCTCCCTCTCTCTCCCTCTCTCTCTACCCCTGCGAATGAAAGCTCGAGCGAGGGACTATATCTCCAAACCGAAGAAGCTCTTCCAAACCGGCAGCTTCCTCGGAGGAAGGACGGCTTCTTGCTACGCAACGACACGAGGAAAATCGTCGGCTTCCGGAGAGAGAGGACGCCGCGAAGGTGTCCGAGAACTTTCGGGGCCCTCCGAGGAAGCCGACACGAGAGGACAACCGGGGGGCGGAACGAAGACGAAGAACGCGGATGATCGAGCGCGAGGTGGCCGTCGCCGCCGCCGCCGCCGTCGCCGTCGTCGCAGGATCTGTTCCGGGGAAGAGCGAGAGAGAGAGAGAATGCGAGAAAATCCGCTGAGATTTTTACGGGCTGTAAGAGATTAAGCAGAGCTCTCTCTATTCCATATTTAAAGCAGCGATCTCTCCCTCTCTCTCTCTCTCTCTCTCTCTCTTCAAATTGAGATTCATTGAATTTTTAAATCTTTATTACCGAAATTTAAAGTTGATGACTTGTCAATTATTTTTTTTCCATTTTCGGCCCGGAACTAGTGTGTTTTTTTATCCTTTCTCTCTAACACCCTCCTCCGCTCGAGCCCGGCCAGGGTCATCGGATATTCTGCAAAGATAAATCTCGGCGGACCCTTATCTGAAACTCGACGTGACCGATTGGCTAAGACATGCGTGCTCATGTGTTCGTGTAAGAACAATCGTAACGAGTAACAAACACGTCGAAGTGAAGCGAAGCGATACTTTTACTCGTCATGATGCGCTTTGACTCGATTGGTTAATAAATTTCGGAATGTTTTTTTTTTCCTAATTAACATGACGTGTTTATTTACACCTAGAAAATGCTTACAACGTGTGAGACTATAGCGGGGTCGATTACAATTTCTGTGCTGTCGATAGAAGTGTGTGTCTAAGTCCCTAGCAAGACCTTAAAAAGCTCAATGAGAGATAAGGGAATGAACTCCCTAGTATGATGGAGTGTTCTTCTCTCTCGAAAAGAAAAATAACTGGAGGAATTTAGGGGCCTGCAGGTTGGGAAAGGTAGACTCCACGTTAGCTTCGGTTGCTTACTACCGGGTAGGCATATATAGCAGCCTCCCGCACCTGAGGTGATGCAGGAGAGCTTCGGCACCTGAGGTGATGCAGGAGCGCTTAGTTGGCCTGCATTTCGCATGATGTCTTTATAACCAACGTGTCAACCAAATATCCCTAAAAATGCTTACGACGTGTGAGAATACAATGGGGTCGATTACAATTTATGCACCGTCGATAAAAAAGTGTATCCTAATACTTAATATCCATATTTATATCCACATGTAAAGGATACATTAGGGATTGTGTGATTATTTTGTACATTAGGCTATATGCATAGAACACGTGACATCAAACCCAAAAATAGAAAAAGACACAAAAACTCACAAACTTCATTAGCTGTATTTTCTCCTTTTTTTTCCCAAGTAAATTACTATTTTCTTCACTTGCCATCGGCAAATTAATTAATTTTGTGACATTTTTTCGAAATGCGTCGGATAATTAATTAGATAAAACAAGAGAACATTGGATAGACACGGACAAATGTTTTTGGTCGGTGACAGGCGGTGGATCTTTGGACGACGAAGACACGAGTCAATTTCGAGACACGTGCCGCCCCAAAATTCGCTTTTTTTTGGCCCCCTTTTTTTTATTTTTTTCTTTTTCGTGTTTCTATTAGTCTTGTCTTATTTTATTTTTGTTCTTGTTTTTCGTGTTAATTCAACACCGGATCATTTTTTTCTAAACTCTGTATTTATTGTATTTTCTTGGGATTTGTGATGCGGGGCAGGAATAAATAACTTAGGGCGCGTTTGGTAACGTTTCTATTTCTGGGAACTATTTTTTTTTAGAAATAGTTTTTTCTATTTCTATTTCCTGGAAGAGTTTCTGAGCAAAATAATGCGTTTGGTAACTGCACAAAATTTCTATTCCTGAAATAGAAAAAGAACAGAAATGCGTTTGGTAACTGCACAAAATTTCTATTACCAATTTTTTGCGTTCAAATCTATATTTTTTATTTAACTATAAGTACAAGTTATAAGTGAAAAAAATCAATAAGCATGATTTATTGGTTTGGCTAATCCTTTTTAGGGGTTTAAAATCCCTTTTAATCCCTAAACTAAGGAATCTTCAAAAATACCACTTGGGCACCTCAAAAATTTAAATTTCACTTAAAGTGGGTGGCCACAGGTATTCTAAGCCATTATGTGAATTTTTTTTATATTTTTTTGTGGTAAAATTTATTAAAATTTTTTACTTTCCCTAAATCTGTTTCTTTTTATTTTTCTGAAAAAATTTTATGAAATTTTTTAAATTTTTTAAATTTCGGAATTTTGCAAATATTTAAGGGTTTTTTGAGTTTTTCTGATTTTTATGGATTTTCTGAGAATTTTTTTGATTTATATGAATTTTGGGAATTTTTTAATTTTCTAATTTTTTATGGGATTTTTCTGAAATTTTTCTAATTTTTATGAATTTTCTGAATTTTTTAATTTATTCTAAGCCATTATGTGAATTTTTTATTTTTGATTTTTTTGGGGAAAAGTTTATTAAAACTTTTTACTTTCCCGAAATCTGTCTCTTTTTATTTTCCAGAAAGCTTTTTATGATTTTTTTTTGAATTTTTTCAATTTCGGAATTTTGCAAATTTTTATGGGTTTTCTGAGTTTTTCTGATTTTTATGGATTTTCTGAGAATTTTTCTGATTTTTATGAATTTTTGGAATTTTTAATTTTTTATAATTTAATTAATTTTTTTATTATTTCCGCCGAGAATGGACCGGACCGGTGCTTTGAGACGGTTTGCAAACGACAGAGGATGGAGGAGGAGCTGAGGTCGCGGCTTGAGGACCGAACCTTTCTATTTCTATTTCTATTTCTAGGAACAAAGAAGTAGATTTTTTCTACTTCTTATTTCTGCTCCAAATCTATTTCTTGGCCACTTTTCTATTCCAGGAAATAGAAAAATAAAATGCGTTACCAAACGGATTTCTGTTCTTTTTTTGTTCTAGGGAATAGAAAAACAGAAAAATAGAGAAACAGAAGTGTTACCAAACGCGCCCTTAACTTCTGTAGTCTGCATAATTTTTCTTGCAAGTAGGTGTTATCTTTGAGCTCTTAGGGCAAATATCTTAATAGATCTATTTGGGATTGTTTCTACGAAATAAAGATAAGATCGGTGTAAATATGGCGCCGGCATATTAATTTGAAATTTTCTCAGACGTGAAATTAATTTGAGATAAATGTGATCCCGATGTATCAATTTGGGATTCTTGATGGTATTAGCCCAAAAATATAAGGCATCCCTAAACTCCGTTCGTTTCCTAAAATCGATCATTCGTATCGCTTGAAATAATTGATCAATAAAAAAAAATTGTTCGTCAATAATAATTTATGTATAAAATATTTTTCATTTATTTATTTTTAAATAATTAAATTTTCGCGAAATCTTATCGGATGGGTCAATAATGAGCGCTGGAGCTTCGCTTTGCGAAAAGTCAAAGGTCAACAAATGCTCGATGGATGAGAAAGAAAACACACGGCGGCGCCATTAACGAGCGCTGTCCGCATATCAATCAATGGAGCGTTGGAAGTTCGAATTCCCGCACGTGCCGCCCGCTTCCCACGTGCGTCCAGAAGAAGCCGAGACGGCGTTTCTATTTCTCTCCTCCGTTTTTGAAATCTTTTTTTTTTGTCCGGAAATTCGAGGTCGGCGAATCGCCATCGCGGCCTCATCGGGACGCCGGCAGTCGGGGAAGAGTTTTTACAATAGCGCGGGATGTCGGGTGGGGGGGACGCCGTAATTGGACAGTGCAATGCAGGTAGTTCAGAAGCTCGTTGCGAGGTTAGCACGGATTGCGATCCCACGAAAAAGTAGGCGATCCTCCTATCACCGGCCCGATGGCCCCGGGCCTTTTTTTTTTTTTTTGGATTGGCTTCGTCGTCACGACCGCTCGCCAGCTAAGCTCTCGTCCATCCCCCAACCCCACATTAATGCACAAAACAAAGGATGAAAAAGGTAGGGGAGGTCCCAAAATTGGCAGAGTATGGTATGGAGCGCCTGAAAAAGCGAAATTCGTGCTCATCCTTTGAAAATGCTGACAATAATGGGAGAAAAATCGCTCGTGGTCCTTGAAGCATTTGAAATGTTGCAATCCGAACCCTATGCCACACGATTTAGTACATAGCTATAATCCAGGGGGGCGAAATTTCGATCGTCCGGGACTTGAGAGCAAATATACTATGAATCTAATATATATGCTGAGCTCAATTTGGATCGTCGGATATAATGATATCCATACGAGATGCGCCATTTTTAATATGTTGGGTTCGGTTATTAAAATGCTGTAATTTTTTTGGAAAAAATCACAAAAAACACAAAACTATGCCCACTTTGACACCTTTATCTTGTCCTTTTTTTTGTGATATCAAAAATCTCATATTATGTTCACCATAACACATTTACCCTAAACTTCTGGTAGTACCTATGTGACAAATTTACTCTCCGTCAAGATTCCGTTAGACGATTTTTCAGCCAAAACGTCGTTTTTATTTTAATTAAGTCACGTGGGCGTCATATCAACATCGTTTGCTTTCTGGCATCCATGTAGGTAGATTAACGATTCTCATCGACAGGAAAAAAAATTTATGGTAAATGTGTCATAATAAGTGTAATTTAGATGGCTTCATTCCAAAACAAGCACTAATTTTATCTTGAGTAATAATTTTGGCCCGAATTTTTTTTTCTCATAAAAAATCACTAACTTTCACTTAAATCCCAAATCTAGCTTCGAACAATTTGAAAATTTTACATCACGGGGGCCAGATTTGGAACTCGAGCAAAAGTTTGTGTCTTTTATCGAAATAAAAAAAAAGTTCGGGCTAGAATTGTCACTCAAGATAAAATTGATGCGTTTTTTTTTTGGAATTAGCCCATAATTTAGAACTTTTGGGACTTTTGCCCTAAACTTTTTATATAATGATTTTTCAAGACTCGAAGATAAGAGCAAAAAGGACAGAACTGATAAGCCCACGTTCCTATGCGAATGGGAAGTCATTGCGCGTGGGGACAGATCGCGAGCCGCCGGGGCCACGTGAGGCCTCACGTGACAGGACAGAGGAATGTCGTGCGTGAGTGATGATGATTAATGATTGTATTTCACCCGACACCGGCGGTCAAGACAGCTACCTATGACTATTGAGGATTAAAATAGGGGGATGCTGACTCGGCGGGCTGATCTTGGGAGTGGGGATGAGCATCGGCTTTTTTGGATTCCTCCGCATGAATGGTTTCAAATCACTTGTCGTTTTTCATAATCAACTCTTTCGATATATATTAAACCCG